TTGCTAATTTTATAAAATAATTATTAATTTATTATTATATTAATAATATTTAAATGGATAAATGTGTGATAAACGGTTTGACACGTCTCACCCAAACACGACTCGTTTATTAAACGTGTTTGGCATGTCAATCCGTTTATCATCCATACCCGTTAATATCTCACCCAAATCCGTTTAATTCGTGTCGGTTAATCGTGTCGTGTCAAATTTTGACAGCCCTAGATATACACTCTTGACCTACTCATTTCATATGCCATATTTTAGGTTGAAATTACATCTAAAGAGGAAAAACTCTATCTCTCATAGCGTGAGACCACATACTATAACTNCTACTCATTTCATATGCCATATTTTAGGTTGAAATTACATCTAAAGAGGAAAAACTCTATCTCTCATAGCGTGAGACCACATACTATAACTCAAAGGAAGCCCAAATTTAACTTTCCAACCCTTAGGTCAATAATAATTTTTTTTTTTTGGGTTTTACAATCCTAGGTATGTTTGTTTACCATTTCTGTGGCATGGGAGACGGATTGGCCAAGTCACACCATGATTGTCCCCAACATGCTCGTAATACCACTCATGTCATTTTGGACAAGGAATCGTTTTGCTGCTTCCACGGTAATGGGGAAGTGCCCTTCCCTCTGCGGTGCTTGACCCCTTCTACGGTGCTTGGCCCCCTACCAATTGTGGGGTCTTGCTGGGACCCACGTAGCCACGTCAGCTCATGATCCTATGCCATTTGTCCTCTACAGTGTGGACACTTGTCTTGATTGGAAAACAAAAAGAGTATTAAAACAAACTCTATCAAACTGAACCATGGTTTTTTCACTATATATATGTTTCTTTGGTTTCATAAATTATTAGGTTTTGTTTTTAAACTTTTGCCATTGCAGGAGGTGGAAGTGGATTTGATTATTACAGATTACCGTATGCCTGGAATGACGGGCTATGATCTCTTGAGAAAGATTAAGGTTAGTTAATAAAGTTGACACTCCTATACTCAATATTCAATTCAATGATTTAATAATTTTAGTATACTTGAGCAACCAATTTCCTTCCATGTTAAATAATAATTAATAATTGTGTTACTTAGTAATTTATGCATTTGGGAAAAAAAAAATAATTATCAAAGAGGAAAAATATGTGTATTCATCTGTACATACCATATGAAACAAAATTAAAACCTTAATTTTATAGCAATAAACAAGGTTATTAACATAGTTAATAAAAGAAAAAAATTTCTTACAAAATTCGAATAATTTCTTACAAAAATTTTATTGGTTGAAGATACGAGGTCAATTATAAGTAGGTTGGTGAGAAAAAATATATCGACATCTTATCATTTAATGTAATTTTCTTCACCAGTACAATTCATACAGATAAATTTGTATGAATTCAAGTAATTGAATTTTAATTAGAAAGGCCAAAATAAATTATGGGGGTGAATTTTGGACATTTTCTACATGGTTTACTTTCAAGAGTGATCTTATTAACTAGAGCTTTTATGTGATATNTAGGTTGGTGAGAAAAAATATATCGACATCTTATCATTTAATGTAATTTTCTTCACCAGTACAATTCATACAGATACATTTGTATGAATTCAAGTAATTGAATTTTAATTAGAAAGGCCAAAATAAATTATGGGGGTGAATTTTGGACAATTTCTACATGGTTTACTTTCAAGAGTGATCTTATTAACTAGAGCTTTTATGTGATATCTATTGCAGGAATGTTCATCTTTAAGAGACATACCAGTTGTAATAATGTCCTCTGAGAACATTCCTTCAAGGATTAACAGGTAATTAAGAAAGAAAACTTACACAACTCTTTAGTAGTTCCTTTAATTCTGTCTAAAAAACGACAATTCAATGCACAAAACTTCTGTTATTACACGGGGTTTAGGAAGCGTCATATGTAGTGACACAACTATGTATAAGCCATGCCCCTTCGCATTCTGTCATATATTTCTAAAAACTTTTATTGCTATTTCTTATGTTCTTANAAAAACGACAATTCAATGCACAAAACTTCTGTTATTACACGGGGTTTAGGAAGCGTCATATGTAGTGACAGAACTATGTATAAGCCATGCCCCTTCGCATTCTGTCATATATTTCTAAAAACTTTTATTGCTATTTCTTATGTTCTTAAAAAGCTCAATGTATAAGTATTTATTTCACTTAGTGTACTTAAAAGATTGATGACTTCAATTTAATAACCAAATGAGGGATATAATTACATGGATCGATGAGTACTGTTCTTATTGACGAAGACACTTGTTTGGTTGATTCTGATAACTATAGTAACATAAAAAGNAAAAAGATTGATGACTTCAATTTAATAACCAAATGAGGGATATAATTACATGGATCGATGAGTACTGCTCTTATTGACGAAGACACTTGTTTGGTTGATTCTGATAACTATAGTAACATAAAAAGTAAAGGTTTTTTTTTTGTCCAAAATGGAGTTACAAATGTGACTTATATAAAAAATAATGTATTGGCTTGTGATTCATTNAGTAAAGGTTTTTTTTTTGTCCAAAATGGAGTTACAAATGTGACTTATATAAAAAATAATGTATTGGCTTGTGATTCATTTTTACGATAGTATCATGTGAAACTATTATTTATGAGGATAATTTATTTATAACCATAAAGTTATATTTATTATTATATAAGAAAAAAAAGACGGTGATATTGTCACAAACCAAATTTTATTATGGTACAAACCAATTCTTGGGTTTTGTGAATCAAATTAATTTTTATAATGGCATTGTATAAAATTAATTTTAATAGGTTTTTTATAAATTAAAATTTGTTGTCAACTATAATCATTGAATAATTCCGTTAAATAAATTTTTTGTCTATGTCATGATTTTGACTTCCCTCAAGATAAAATTTTAATTCCGTCCCTGATCATATGTATGCAATATTACTCTTTCTTGTTGACAAAAAATTGAGACCGAACTTGGATTGCTTGGTTGATATGATGGATCAGATGCTTGGAACAAGGGGCAGAAGAGTTCTTTCTCAAGCCAGTTCAACAAGCAGATGTGAATAAACTTAGACCACATTTACTGAAGGAAAGGTTAAGGAACAACAAGAGCAAGCTCATTGAAGAATGTCTTGGAAGTCGACCAATAAAGAAAGAAAATTTTCAGTAGTTTAAAGCCAGTCCCTCTTTGTTTTTCTTTCCTTTTTTTTTTTTTCATAGTTTAAGTTAATGCTTTGAATTATGTACGTTCAACAGACTGATTGATTCATTTATAGAGGAAAGTGTAAACTTTATTTGATTAAAGAGATCAATCAAACCCTAATTCCAAGATCTAGAACAATTTGATTTTCACATACTCATAATATCATAATGTAGAATTTAGAACATCATAATCAAACATATCTGGAGCCATAATCACAAACCTTGAATTACTTGAACAAGAGTTGAACCATCCTTGGTGTAGTTCGGAAATCGATTTTTCTCTTTTAACCTTTATCCTTAGGATACACAATTTGATGGGGCATGTGTATATTTATAGGTAGAGAGAGGACCGGTTTCCTAGTTCAACATAAACTCTACTTCTCATCAAAGTAAAATATCAGGAAACCACTTCTTCTCATTGACCAATTAGAAAATACTAGTTATACCGGTTAGATTTGGATTGATAACCTTATCATTATCTAATCCAAATTAATTATCTCATAATAATCATTAAAATCACATGTGCCAAATCAAGTGGGCCACATTNTTAATTTTTTATAAAATTTTATTAGGATTCAAATGTTCAAATTGAATTGAGTAAACGGATCGTACATCTAATTATTAACGTAAGCAGATATAAATTAAAATTTTAAAATTCGTCGTATAAATAAATCGGATTCAGAACTCATTTAGATCAAGACAGATCTAGATTCAATTCTACGTCGTATCAAGTATCAACACCTTTTTCCTTTGTGTTGTACATTTGGACTTGGACATAGACACACATACGGTCCTTCAAACGCAAATAATTTTTTGAAGGAACATCACAGTCTATCTTCATTACATTTATAGGAATTCGTACGGTACCCTCTTAGTATTTGAAATTATGATGTACCCCTTTTTTTTCTTTAATTTTTCTCCCATGAAGTGCTTTTTGCATGTGTTTTATTTAGTATATTATTATGCCTTTATATTAAATTTTTAATTATTTTATGAGTTAATAAGTTTAATTCAATTCGTTATAATTCAATCAATTATAACCTATTTATTAAGTGGGTTAAAAATAGATTAAATTTGTTTTACATTTCAACCCGATTTAAACCAACCCAACTTGCCGAGTTGTTACCTCTAGATATGGCTATGGTATCTCTCAAAAAAAAAAAATTGGTGTTGTAAAAAAAATTAATTTATAGTTGGATTTTTTTGTTTTACTCACCACCATCAAATAAGTGGGTTCCATTAATATTCAATAATAAAAATTTTGTCATATTACTTAAAATGAAAAACTTGGTAAACACAACATTATTGTTTTTCTTATACACTCGAGCCGAGTTTTAGATTCGGAGTTAAGACCCAACCATTGGGAATATGCAAAGTCGGTGTTACGTGCGTGGGCCTAGATTAGTTTAGCCCCGTAGCCCCGAAATCTTAATGCTCAAACCAAACACACTCTAGTGTCATATATATTCACATCAAATTCATAAAATGGAGATTGGCTCGATCTTGGTATGACCAAGTAGTCTCGATTTTTGTAATTTTCAATATATGAATTCTCATATTGGACTTGCTTATCTTGTTCCACATTCCTACAATTTGGAAAGGACAAGAAGGGCCCTCTTTCAAGAATTTAGATACTCAAAGAGAAAATTTGATATAGATCGAATCGCAGCACAATATTTGGATCGTTAGGATAGATATCGAGATAGAACGAATTGACTTTTTTAGAGCCATTTCTACATACGTGAATTTCTAAACACTCATGTCCAGTTAGGAATGACGAGACAAAATGATCCCATCGTACCCCTAATAAGGGATGCGATGACCCTGAATGGATTTTGGATAATTTCCTTTATTTAAAAATTGAAAAATGCATTTTATCCATTTGGTAATATTTTGTAGTTGAATAACTTCAATGCCTTAAGTCAGAATTGATCGCTGTTTATTTTGACTTAATCTTGGTGATTCATAGTTTTTAGCAGTATAATTAGTTTGAAAATTTTCTTTTTTAGAAAAATCTGTATTAATGATCTAATTACGTGATTAACGATAGTTCAGTTATGTTTGATTATTTTCTAATTAGTTTTATGGTTTTAATACCATTTAAACTCTTGTAAGTGACTAAGCAGCTTTTGATTATTCAATACAATTAAGAAAGTTTCTCTTTTATTCTTAATTCTTCTAAAATCAACAGAGTTATTGAAGCCTTTATAACTAATATTCTATGTGAATCAACATGTATAAAGTAAGAAAATAAACCGGTATTTATGAATAAATCAACAGTTTATTTTCATTATTCATTTTTGATCATTTTTTTTACCCGCTTGCCTGCATCAGAAGCCCGACAAGATGACAAGCCCCTAGGGACATTAACATTACATAAATTTTTATTTAACTAAGCAGCAATATTTAACAGACGCAATAGGCATACAAGAATAGTTTAATAACCATTCTAACTCTTGATATCACTCACTAGACGTGTCTTCCAGAGTCTCAAAAACTATGCATCTGCGAAACCCGGAAAATTCACCTCTTTCTCAGCATCATCCCATTCAAGCTTCTTGTAAACAAAACCCTTTGCAACCCAGACATAAGCACACAAATTCAGAGCACTCAACCCTGCCAAAACCCAATAAAAGTCATCAAGATGTGCACCATTAAGATTATCACTCAGCCATTCATGCCCCAATCTTGAGCTAATGGCCTGCACAGCTGCTATAACACCAGTGCTCATGAAGCTCCCGACCCCGATTGCGCTAAGGTACGCTGCTGCACCCATGCTTCTCATCTCCTCAGGCATTTGATCATAAAACAGTTCCTGCATTCCCACAATTGTGAACACATCAGACAGCCCACACAGCATATATTGTGGTAGTAGCCACCACACACTCATAGGGACAGTCGATTTTGGCGAATCCTCGAGCCCATGGGCCTGTGCAATTCCGACCCTTTTTGCCTCTACTAGTGCTGATACAACCATGGCCAGTACTGAGAAAAAAAATCCAATGCCCATTCTTTGTAACATTGTTATGCCAGAAGGGTGTTTGGTGATGGTTCGGGCTAGGGGGACGAGTACTCGATCATAAATTAGAACCGAGACCAGTATAGTGAGGCCAGTGAACACTTGGAGTGACGCCGCGGGGAAGTGGAAGTTGTGCCCGATTGACCTGACCATTGTGCTGCCTTGTTTGGTGAAATATGTGCTTTGTTGGGCTATCACAACTGTAAACATTAAGCAACTTAACCATATGGGGATTAGGCGGATAAGAAGCTTCACTTCCTCAACTTGATTCACAGAGCTGAGCCTCCATGGATTTCTCTTCTTGGTTGATGCATCGATATCATCGATAATCATCGCTTTGTCCAAAATTCTGAAGATTTCAAGTTTACGAGATTAAACATAGAAGTTACAACCCACAAATAAGAAATAAAATTGATATTGTATTAGCGAGTTTATGTTTAATTTTGAGTTTATGAGATCAAACACTAAACTTTTTTTTTTTTGNAGAAGTTACAACCCACAAATAAGAAATAAAATTGATATTGTATTAGTGAGTTTACGTTTAATTTTGAGTTTATGAGATCAAACACTAAACTTTTTTTTTTTTGCAAGCTAGAGAGAAACTACACCAAAAGCTGTAACATATGTTAAAAGTTATACAAGCTTGATTTTAGTTCAAGAAGAGTGCTCTTTTTCTAGAATAGTTGCTATTGGCACGGGANTGCAAGCTAGAGAGAAACTACACCAAAAGCTGTAACATATGTTAAAAGTTATACAACCTTGATTTTAGTTCAAGGAGAGTGCTCTTTTTCTAGAATAGTTGCTATTGGCACGGGAACAGAACATTCTAATAGTTCAGTGTAAACTAAAGATTGACAAATTATGGGGGTCCATGGGCAGACCAATAGCTCCAAGGTTAGGGCCAAGGGCCATTTTTCAGCCTACTAGGTCTATCCTATTGGGCTATAAATGATAATGGCCCTAATTTTTTTGAGTGAGATTAACCTGGCCCACTAACTAGTTAAAAGCCGACGGTCTAGGCTGTGACCCACCCTGGACCATTGACTGTGATATGCAGATAGGCCCAACGCAATCCATTTGCGACCCTAGTGAAAACTCGGTAGCTCATATATGACTCCCTGTTTGTTTATATAAAAGATGAATTACATCCGCAACGAGATTTGTCGATTAATTATTCAGACTCTTTAATATTTGAAATATTATATACATACCTCTTAAAATTTGTACATGCATAACATTTAGATACCCCTGCTATAAATATATCCGTTAATAAATTATACCTAAATCCCCAGAAGTTTATAAACATAAATTATTTAGTCCCCTTAAGTTTAAAATGTTACANGAAAACTCGGTAGCTCATATATGACTCCCTGTTTGTTTATATAAAAGATGAATTACATCCGCAACGAGATTTGTCGATTAATTATTCAGACTCTTTAATATTTGAAATATTATATACATACCTCTTAAAATTTGTACATGCATAACATTTAGATACCCCTGCTATAAATATATCCGTTAATAAATTACACCTAAATCCCCAGAAGTTTGTAAACATAAATTATTTAGTCCCCTTAAGTTTAAAATGTTATACTTAAGCCAGAAATACTTCAATTAAAAATAGAATATCAAATATTTTAAATTTTACAATTAAAATACATGTTCTATTATATAATTTATTAGAATAAAATCAAAAATAAAAGATCAATTTTTTCTTAAAAAATCGTAATTAGTATACAATTATATTGTCTATTAGAATTTAATTTGGTCGTTTAAACAACCAAATTAAAATATGAAACTACTCCGATTAAAACTAAAAGATATTATATTCATTGCAGTTTGACCCCTTATTTAATTGTTTTAGTTTTATTTTAATAGATAGTATAATTGTATACTAACTATGATTTTTTTTTTAAACTGGATTTTTATTTTTGATTTTATTTTAATAAATGACATAATAGAACATGAATTTGTTCTATTATGAATGGCTTGTACCACTTGTTTGATTATTTAGTTTTATTCCAATAGATAGTATACTAATTCCGATTTTTAAGAAAAAAAATTGAATTTTTATTTTTGATTTTATTTCAATAAATCTAACAGAACATGAATTTTAGTTGTAAAATTTAAAATACTTAATAATCTATCTTTGATTAAATATTTTTAGTCTAAGTATAATATTTTAAACTTAAGGGATCTAAATATTATATGTCTACAAACTTTAAGGTGTGTAGGTATAATTTATTAACTGATATATTTACAGCAGGGGTCTAAGAAATCAACTTTCATACATAACNAATTATATTGTCTATTAGAATTTAATTTGGTCGTTTAAACAACCAAATTAAAATACGAAACTACTCCGATTAAAACTAAAAAATATTATATTCATTGCAGTTTGACCCCTTATTTAATTGTTTTAGTTTTATTTTAATAGATAGTATAATTGCATACTAACTATGATTTTTTTTTAAACTGGATTTTTATTTTTGATTTTATTTTAATAAATGACATAATAGAACATGAATTTGTTCTATTATGAATGACTTGTACCACTTGTTTGATTATTTAGTTTTATTTCAATAGATAGTATAATTGTATACTAATACCGATTTTTAAGAAAAAATATTAAATTTTTATTTTTGATTTTATTTCAATAAATCCAACAGAACATGAATTTTAGTTGTAAAATTTAAAATACTTGATAATCTATCTTTGATTAAATATTTTTAGTCTAAGTATAATATTTTAAACTTAAGGGATCTAAGTATTATATGCCTACAAACTTTAAGGTGTGTAGGTATAATTTATTAACTGATATATTTACATCAGGGGTCTAATTGTTATACACGTATAAACTTTAAGGGATCTGTGTGTAATATTTCAAATACCAAGAGGTCTAAGTGATTAAGTAACACACTTTAGAGAACGTGAGTGTAATTCTCCCTTGTATAAATCAGTAGATCACTGCTACAATAACGAATCGATTCCTACACAACTTTCACGTAATACATATATAGCAGAGGAGAAAACACTCGTTGATGAGGGAAGAGAAATTCAAAAGTGGAAACAATAAAACTGCAAAAGAGTGGGACATAAGAAATCAAGCCTTAGTTTTTTAATAAGGATTGACACTTATATCCCTTGACTAACGAAAATTTGAGAGAATTAAAGATGACCAATAAATTANTAAGAAATCAAGCCTTAGTTTTTTAATAAGGATTGACACTTATATCCCTTGACTAAAGAAAATTTGAGAGAATTAAAGATGACCAATAAATTATTCGGCTCAATAGCGTTACGAAATACCGAATCTATCAAAGTCCTCCATATCCATGCTATTCAAAATTCCAGATAGTTGGCTCTTTAATGGCGTCACAGGCCACTTTACACACACACACACATGTATATCATTTTGGTGTAGAGCAAAAGGTCTAAGGTTGAATGGTTNATAAATTATTCGGCTCAATAGCGTTACGAAATACCGAATCTATCAAAGTCCTCCATATCCATGCTATTCAAAATTCCAGATAGTTGGCTCTTTAATGGCGTCACAGGCCACTTTACACACACACACACACACATGTATATCATTTTGGTGTAGAGCAAAAGGTCTAAGGTTGAATGGCTATCCACATTTTAGGTGAAAAAGGTAAGTAATGGACCATCCATTAAAGATAAGTGTGACACAAACTTTTCTTTTTGACAATTGCTTGTGCCGACACACAACAAACTGTTTTATGCAAAAATAAAAAAGTTTTAAACCATAGCTCTATCTATCCATTGGACTCTGCCCCCAAAAGTCTAACTCTTACCGNAGGTGAAAAAGGTAAGTAATGGACCATCCATTAAAGATAAGTGTGACACAAACTTTTCTTTTTGACAATTGCTTGTGCCGACACACAACAAACTGTTTTATGCAAAACTAAAAAAGTTTTAAACCATAGCTCTATCTATCCATTGGACTCTGCCCCCAAAAGTCTAACTCTTACCGAGTATTATTGGTCAGTAAAGCAGTGGCGATTCCTCCAATTAACCAACTGTTTTTTTATTACCACCAACTTTCGTGACTTAGTGGGATAAGACCATATTGTCAACAATAGTGAATGTTCTACCTTTAATTGAGTTGATGAAGAGATTAATCGAGATACGTGTAAGATGATTCGAATATTTCAGATCATTCAACCAAAAAATATATATATATTTTGATATAATAACAAAAAATGAATTCGCGTCGTAAATCTATGTTTCATCTATATTTAGTCATTGATTGCAAAAATAATAAAGTAGAGTGAAATCGTTAAAAAAAAGAAGAGATATTTTATATGTTCACAATTTCATTGGATTAAAAGATGAGATACATTAAAAAAATAATAATTTCTTAGTACTATATTTGAAGGCGACAGAGTTATTTCAATCTACATCTCCCACGTGGGTGGAAAGAATTTAGTCCCCATCTAGGTCTATGGAATTCTTTGTCAATTAGATTAACTTATCCTTTTTTATAGGTTTCAAACATTTATCTTTAAATGAACATAAGAGTTGTTTGAGCACGTCTAGCATAAGTGTTTTTTTTGGTTCAATAATTTGAGGTGTTCAATTCTGTTTACGTCCATTTTGATTAATTCTTTTCCTAGTCCGATCAAAGACAAATCATTCATGTCTGGACTATAGGGTATTCATGAGAAATAAATCTCTCAGAATCNCTTTGTCAATTAGATTAACTTATCCTTTTTTATAGGTTTCAAACATTTATCTTTAAATGAACATAAGAGTTGTTTGAGCACGTCTAGCATAAGTGTTTTTTTTGGTTCAATAATTTGAGGTGTTAAATTCAGTTTACGTCCATTTTGGTTAATTCTTTTCCTAGTCCGATTAAAGACAAATCATTCACGTCTGGACTATAGGGTATTCATGAGAAATAAATCTCTCAGAATCTGATCTTGAAACGTTGTCAAAATTTAAATTCAGGATATTTAATTTTGCAACTCATCCTTATTGTCTAGCATAAGTTTTACATCTACATGTTCGATACTACATTTCAATTCTATCTTTATAAGAGGAACATCGGCTCTAACAATTTGGTCGTTTTAACTAAATTTAGTATTTTATTGTTAGCTGGCTTCTAGACCCGATAGACTGGGCCGTNGAGGAACATCGGCTCTAACAATTTGGTCGTTTTAACTATATTTAGTATTTTATTGTTAGCTGGCTTCTAGACGCGATAGACTGGGCGCTGAACCCACATTTTAGATTGGTAGATCCATGATCCGTTGGGTCATAAAATCGGGTCATGGGCACAACTGGTGCTAAAAAGTGGTGATTTTGACATGACACATACCTAAAACAATTTGTACGACCTAACGTTTAAACCCCACCCAAAAACCCTACTTGGCTGCCGACTACGACCTGTTTCTTACTGCGTCACAATGACCATTAAAAAAGAAAAGAAAGCAAAATGATTGTAACTTGAAGTCATACACATATTCATTGTCACAAATACTATACTTTACTCAACCAATAAATTCAAGAAGAGGTGATGATTTTTGACATAATTTGTCAAAAGACATGAATTCGATATATAATAATAAGTTAGATTTAATTATTTTTCGACACAACCTATCACAGTTTTGAATCAACATAAAAATAATAAATTAGATTTAACTATTTTATGATAGAAACTCAAAAATAATATAACCTACTAAAATAAATAATAAATAGTTAAATTTAATATTTAATAAATAGTTTGATTTTGACATGACAAGCCTATTTACTATTATAGACGTGACACATTATAGAGGTGACAATTGTGTTGTGTCGAGTTTTGTTTTGGGTTGATGTCAAGTACTAGATAACTCTAATCCAATCTGTTTAACTAATCATGTCATGCGTGTCGATCTATTTATTTTCCT